AGAAAAATGTGTTTTACAGTTGCGCTTTTTTTTTCTTCAGCTTCCTCACGTCGTGAGCCAGCGCCACAAGGTCAGAACAGGAAGCGGCGGCTGGTAGGCGAGCTTAACGGATCCCATGTTAGCTGTTTAGTATTCTGCTCACAATCGTCCAAGATAGAAGAAACTCAGCACGACCTTTTTTTCTTTCTTTTCACGAGGTGATGTCACTTTATTTGCCCCCGCTGTCACAATTACCTTTATTGTATGTTTCGCTTCTCACGTCATTCGTTGGCAAGACCATGGAAGCGATTAGCTGACCGAGTGGTGTACTTGCTGACGTTTCGCAAATCAAAATTAGCCGACTCTATACTGCGTAACAGATAAAAAAAAGGCAAGCACGTGAGGAAAAGACAGGCAGTTCTACTACATAAAGTTTAAAGGGCAAATGAGATAAAGATGTTTGCAGGTATAACTTGGAAGCAACAAGCACAGGACCGAGTTGATTGGAAGAACATGAGAGATGCATTTACCCGGCACAAGGCGCAGTCGTTATTTCATTTATTGCTTCTTTAAAGGCCCGAGGGCATTACATAAAGGGGGGGGGGGGGGGGGGCAACAAATACGCTGTGAGAGTGTACAATTCAATGTGAACAACTTATCACAAACAACACGGTTCTAAATACGCATATGGTAGTTTGGTACAGAATGACAACAACAACTAATCAAACAAGAAACAAAAGAAACTTTTGACTGGGAAAATGAGTACAAACAATATGGCAAAAAAAATTATACATACAGTACGCTGGTGGGATATATCTACAGCCATGGGTTATTGGGTGGAATCAAAGTGGGATTCCAATTTTGCGCGGAATGATGTGCGGTCAGGTGTGGTAACTATGGAGTCGGGGAGGCGATTCCAAAGTGTAATTGCTTGGGGGGAAAAGGAGTCGTTTATTGCAGATGTACGGCCGTTGATTGGTGCAATGGAGATAGAATGGTTATGATCATGATGCATCATCTGGGATGATTCTTTCGTCTTCTTGGGCTGTTTGCGTTGCGCATATTTGTCGTATATAGGATCAGTTTCAATTTATCATGCACAACCAGAATTAAGCAACTCGTATTTAAATGACGTACGAGCAATGTCTTGGTGGGTTCTTAATCAAACGGGTTGGGCTCATATTCATGAAGGCTGATTGTTGATTCAGTTGTTGGATGAGTTCAAGACCTCACGCCAGCACAGTATCACACGCGTCGTTGTTCCACATATCTCTACGAGTCATGCTCCTGCACCACGTCACTGCACGTTCCACTGGCTTGTAGAGAATGTCGTAGTGGGTACCCTAAATATATTGGGGCCCAATTCATTTCTTCAACGTGCGCCTGTACACACGATTCAGCCTTTTTGCACACCATGAACATCGCGAATACCGAGCATCCTGGGAGCCGTCGTCATGACAACCACTTTTTTGCAGATAATCGGATACAAAAACTTGTGTGCACCTCTGTGGTATATTTTTTTTTTTGTGAAATGTGCCTTCGTAGAGCTACGCCATCTTTTCTTGGTAGTCTCGCACCTGCTATATGGACGGCATAGCCTGTTGCTGATACCTAAATCTCTTCCAACATTTTTTTGTTCTCCTTTCACGTCCTCGAAAGTCAGAAACATGCACCAAGAGGTGTGAAAATACGCAAGGTCTAAATCGCTATTCTTGCCACTTCTATCGAGATCAACATTTCTCTCCGCAAGTGGAATTCCGTAGATTTGTGTTATCACATAAAGCCTGATAAAATATAACATGTAAAGTGGCGTTCCGCCCTGGAGGATGCATGGGATGCGTATATCTGTAAACGGTCCCGATGTATTACCAGCTTTCACATATGTCGTTTTTTTTTCGTTTTTCTTATGTTTGAAACTCGCTAGAACATCTCAGTATTACTTTTCTTTATAACAAAACGTGTTATAACACATGTTAACTCTAACGTTTACATAAAAAAATAATAGTACTTCATATGTATCTTCATCTCGTTTAATTTTCCGATACCTTCTCGCAAATTTTATGGGTGTCATGAAAATGTCTGCCCATGTGATTTGTTTCGCTGGTTATGTACTCGTATTTGTTGTTTACTTCCTTTATTGGATTAGCCTCGGCTGAGTCCAACCAGCTTTGCTGACTGTTCAGTTCAGTTTATTATTCATTCAACTGTAAATTCTAAGCCTTAAAACAAAGAATTAGAAATAAAAAAATCAGTTTCGAGCTAACATACGGAACCACTACGAAGATTTAATTTAACACGTACTTTTTAACCTGTCGAAACGTACACGGCGAAGGCGTCGATTCGTGGGGGCCAAAACGGCCGTACCGGCGCTCGCAGTGTTTCGCGATCGACTGAACCTGACGTGTAGCTGCAGAGCCGCTACGGGAAAGGAGTTATCAGGCGGGACGTGCAAAAATGTGTGAAAGCCAGCAATTACTCCATAAGAACAAAAGAAATGCCAGTAGAACAATGCAGAACTGATTGTTGAGGTTGTAAGAAAATTGTAAACTGTGTAAAAGTAGCGCACGAACTGTCGCCTAAATAATTAGTTTGGCGTGTAAGTCAAGCTCAATTAACGGGGCTTTCGGGAAGCAAGAAAACTCGAAATTTATAGGCAGCTGTCGCTCTCCGGTCTCAATTTACCGCTACGCTTCTCTGTGTAGCTGTATTGCCGCCGTCTTTTTCTGGCACGTACGTCGCTTTGAGGAAGGATATCTGCATTTTGCTTTATTTTCTTCAAGGTTAGTTATTCATTGTCCGCTATAAAAATCAGGCGCTGAGAGGCCGATGTTGAGAAGGGCGCTCCTACGTCAATCTTTTATTTTGGTCGCTTCGTTTGTATATATTATATATATATTCAAGGGTGATCACGGCTTATTTTGCTGGACGTCGGTAATTAGTGTCGCTGCTCTTTTGTTCGCGTAATCTTGCTTTGTGCTTTTGTTTCTCCCTCTGTAAATAAGTTTTTTTCTCACGTAGTACTTTTTTTCGGCCCATGTTTTTGTCGAAAGACTTTAAAAGAAACGCAGAACTTCTCTACTTTGCCTGCAGTGGCTCAATTTGGCAGGAAGGCCTATATATCAAAAAGAAAACTAAATGCCAACTCATGGCTTGAGTTTTTTTATTTCATCAATGCATGTGCTGTGAGAAAAAAGATCGACGTTTGCCTTCGAGCAGTCTTAGGCGGATGCATGCATGAAAGGCCCTATGAGCTTTTCTCCATTTGAGCATTGTAATGTGAGAGGTGTTCCCATTCAGGAGAAAGGGGGGGGGGGGGGGGCTTTCGTTTGTACTGCCACTGTTCCACAGTACCTCGGCCTGTGTTTCTGACGGCGTTTTGTCTCGCTTTGACATTTCCTGGTTGTAATAAGTGGTGTGGTTTAACGTCCCAAACCCACGACATGAATCGGCCCCACCCTCAGCGAGGACAGGTGGGCTGCGCTCTTACTGCAGCCCCAAACTTAAGGACCAAACCCTGGCCGTCCAGAGTGCCCGTGAACGGGCCGCCAAGCTCGGCTTGATGGTCCCTACGTGGGATTAGCCGGGTGGCGCGGAGTCTCCCCTGCGTCTTCTCAGGACCAAAATAAAGTTTTAATCAATCAATCAATCAATTAATGAGTACGATAGACGCGGCAGCTCTAGAAATTTTGACCACCTAAGTTTCCTTAACGTGCGCTTAAATCCAAGTACACGGGCCTCGAGCAGTCACACCTCCATGAACTGAAAATATGGTAGGGTAACTGCCCCAGTTTCCAAAGGCGCAAGGCTTCGCTACGACAGTTCTTAATGGATTAGGTAGAAAAGCTGCAAATTTTGTTATTGCAGGAGACACAATGTGACGTCCCTCGCTGGATTCAAAACTGTGATGGCCAGGAACGAGAGAGAAAGAGGATTAGCTACGTTCACCAGTAAAACATTGTCATTTATTGATTGCCAAGTTTAATCTAAGATGAAAACCCTTATCGTTGAGGTTATACCGCACGAGTGGCTCAAGCAGAGCGTATTTGTGCTTAATGTCTGTAACCCGCCATCAGACACAGGAAGACGTTTCACTGTCTGCTTAAGAAGGCGACGTCAACAGGACACGTGTGTTTGTGAAGCATAAAAGCCATTTTCACTGCTTTTCCAAGCAGAGGAAGTTCTTTTCACTGCTTTGACAAGCATAGTCGTGGCAGTGTGGTAGAACATCCGCTTTCCAAAAAAAAAAAAAACGACCCGTGTTCAATCCCCACTTGGACCCAAATAACTCTGGTTCGGTCCCCACTGAGCTCCGGAATTTGTGATCTTTTATTAATTTTATTTTCATCGTACACGATTTTTCGGTCACGCATATGATGATGATTATTTTTCGTTCGCAACCAACGACGCCGATGCCGGAATTTATGCGAAACGAGCTCTTTAACGCTGTCGCGTTAAAAATCATGGACCATCTCTCCGAAGGGAACCATGATGCGAGGCAGCAGCGGTGCGCACGGCGTTGATTTCGCGCACAACCGTTCACTGGCCTTCTCGTATATTTAGACACTGGATCGCGTGTTCCTGATTCAGTCACGGGTGTCTTTATTTGGCTTTCGCTTGACTGACGCTTTGCTTGACTCGAGTAGATGGGATGGACGCAACAGTATACCTTCAACCAGTTGTGGGACACAATCCAACATTAACGTCCCACCACTCGTTGAAGGCAACGCTTCTCCTTCATTCAATGCCCCGCCGCGGTGGTCTAGTGGCTAAGGTACTCGGCTGCTTACCCGCAGGTCGCGGGATCGAATCCCGGCTGCGGCTGCTGCATTTTTGATGGAGGCGGAAATGGCGTAGGCCCGTGTGCTCAGATTTGGGTTCACGTTAAAGAACCCCGGGTGGTCAAAATTTGTGGAGCCCTCCACTACGGCGTCTCTCATAATCATATCGGGGTTTCGGGACGTTGAACCCCACATATTTATCTGTCTATTTATTTATTTATTTATTTATTTATTTATTTATCTATTTATTTATTTATTTATCTGTTTATTCTACTCTCAGGGCCAAATGTCATTACAGAGGGGAGTAAGTTATTTACAATAAAAAATTATTTACAACAAAAAGCAGAGAATACGGTTAGATCGTACAAATAAATCTCTTAAAATGCAATGTCTGCTAATACACCATATAATATTACATGTTAGGTAATACAACACCGAACCTAATTATACAATGTTAGCTATTTAAACAAAAAGAACCTATTGCACAATATTAGCTAATGAATCACGGAACAAGTTGTTATCGCTAATAGCGACAATGTCACCGGTAAGTCTGTTCCACTCGTTTGATGTGCAAGGCAAAAAATGAATTGAAGAAAGTGTTGTGTTGCATGAAGGGTTGCTTACTTTGTGATGCTGGTCAATGTGGTGGGATATGTGCTGTGGGCGAAGTAGTAGTTGGTCATACAAGATGGGATGATGGTACATCTTGTGAAATAGAGTTAAACGGGAGAATTTTCTGCGAGATGCTAAGGAATGGAGTGCAAGGAATGTTTTCATGGTTGAAATGCTCGTGGTTCTCTTATTAATTGGACAATATAAAACGAACAGAGTTATTCTGAACAAGTTCAAGGGAAGTTACCAGATTATTATAGGCGGGGTCCCACCCGGCTGTAGTATATTCCAGTTTAGACCGTGTTATTGTTTTATAAAGCTGCAGTTTCAAGCCATGTGCAGCGTTAAAAAAGTTACGTCGTAAATCGCCAAGCATGCGGTTAGCATTTTTAATAATGTATTCAATATGAGGTGACCAGTTGAGGTTATTTGTTATCAGTCTATCATCTTTCATTCAATAAATAAGAATAGGGAAGACGAAATAACTAATAAGTGTAAACCCACCACTCTGCGGCGCATTTACTCGAGTGGCAAAATGCTGGCGGCCTTTTTTTTAGGTAGTTCTATCGAAATCGCGATTCGTATCAATCACGCCAAAGCAAGCAAACTGATCGTTCCCTTAATTGTTGAAGGTTGCATATCACTCCTAGAGGGGGCGTCCACTTAAGACTCTCTGGGAGCTACGGTGCGAGCACTCTAGGGTTCGTACGGTTTCTCGATCGAGATACCACAGACTTCTCAGTGTGTTCTTTAAGGAACCGTACGTAGAACTGCCATTTAAAAGCATAATGGTTGCACTGTTGACTTGTCGTCTTGTTTATCAGGCGTGGGAACAATACCAGAGCGAGAGTACAAATTTACAAAAAGTGTGGCAATGTGTGGCAATTTATTTATTAAGTGTGGCAATGTTAAACGTGCTCGTACATCGAAGAACCTGCTACACCGAAATTGTAGCCTTACGCAAACGCTAAACAAGAACGAAATATATATGTAAGCGAAAAAAGAGCACAAACTTTTCATGACCGTTTAGAGTAAAAAAGTTGACACTACATAGGAAAAAACACATTGCCATATAATTACATATATCTACGTACCCTGCGACACACCTAGTAATTGCGTTATCTTACCATAACGCTCCTGTTCAGGAACTCAAAGTTCTTCTTTAGTAATTTTTCCAGTTGTCTTCACTATGTCCATCATCAAATTTAGTTCCATATTATTTTCTGGGTAGTTCTACGTCAGATTCTTTTGTTATTACAAATTTAGTTCTACTGCGGTATTAGTTTCACCAACCGACTGGTTTTGGCAGTGACTTATGTTCGACCAGTACAGAGATCGAAGGACCAGCTAAGAACTTCGCTGAAATATAACGATCGCACACTCAGTGGGATTAGACCAACAACGATCTGACATGCTGTTCAGCTTTGAAATCGCACATACACTGCAAACGCTGTGCACACATGAATCGTCCCAACGCGCCGTGCACAGTCTCGGCGCACAAGTGGTGCACGGCTTTTTTTTTTTGTTATTGGAGTGTGTGCTGCACTGTATTCCTTCCGTCAACCGGCGTTAGTTCTGTACACTGAGTCCCTAATCACTCTTGCTGATGGTTCCAGGGCATTTTGCTCGGGTCATCCTGAGGATGTAGTTTCTGACGTAGAAGTTTATGAACAGCAGAAGGCCGAAGAAGCCCTGGCTGAGCGCAAAGATGGCCAGCGGCCGCGGGTATCCGCAGTCGTAGAACAGAGTGATCGACATGTGCATCATGAGACCGACGAACTGAATGATCTGAAGCTCGGTGAGGTAGCGCTTCCACCACAGGTACTTCTGCACCGAGGGACCCAGGGCGGCGAGGAAGTAGTACGAGTACATGATGACGTGCACGAGGGCGTTGACGCTCACTCCGATGACGGGCTGCCCGTCGGTGCCGAAGTTCATGTAGAACCACCCGCTGAACACTATGAACGCGTGGTGGGACACGTGCAGGAACGTGATCTGCGAGGTCTTCTTGCGCAACACGAAGAACACGGTGTCCAGGAAGTCGGCGACTCTGACCAGGCAGTAGCACCAAACTAGGCGGATAATCTCCGTGTCCCGATCGCTCGGGTTGTCGTAGTTGATCCCCTGGCATATCCAGCTGTAGTGACCCGACAGGTACGCCACCTGAAACACCCGCACCGCGTAGTATGCGTTGGCGAGAACCGTCAACGCGTTGTACGTCAGGACGGCCCACTTTAGGTTGAACGGCTTGCGGTCCTTCATCCAATTTGGGCCGCCGACCTTGACGAAGTACACGTAGGCCACTAGAAGTGGAAGCACGAATTTGGAGTCCGCTATGCCGCCGTATCCATCTGTTCGAGGATCCCTTCGGGACCAGAAGTAATTGTAGAGCTTCACAAATGTCCATGGTGAGGTCACGTGTGACGCCTGCGAAGACATGACGTCTATTCCTGGTAGTCCTTAATAACGTGCTGTAAGCCGACGCCGAAGTGCGAGCAGCAGCTGTGTCGGCAGGGTTTCCGAGCTGCCAACAACTGGGGAATGCTTTCGATTCAACTCGTTCGCGAGGGTGCAGGAATATCAAGTGCCATGTGAGAACAGGCTCACTTGCCCAGTCTCCCACTGCATAAATACCCTCCGATAAGGAAAGTGAACGATGGGGAAAGTGAAATGTGAGCAGCCATTGTGCTGCGCTGAGTTAGGTGCGACAAATGCGGCATGCAAAATTACAACAAGATGACGTTGGAATGCGTCCGTGTCCTGTTACGATACGAGCTGTAGGTCAGAGCACTTTCTCGCTGAGTATCTTGGGTAAGTTGTCACGTGTCGTCGAAAAAAAAAAGAGAACGGATTCCGTAGGAGCTTGAAAGAGAAATGTTTCTACGTATACGATCAACCGAAATAATAAACTTTTTGTCTCCGCTAATTTCTGTAGCAATGTGCGTTTTCGGGGTTACTTGCCAAGAATATTGACAGTCAACAAAATTACTTTTTAGTAATCTAAGTGTCGACCAAGCAAATAGGACGATTTGGCGCCTTGGTGTCCATATTAAGATGGTTAACAAGTGGGGTGTGGTCACAGCCGTATACCTCAGGTGCATTTTAGCCGTATATTAAGCCGTATACCAAGCCTTTTACGTAAGCTGTGTACCATGAGGTGCATAGTTTTCATTCTTCTATGAGGAAGAGAAAAAAAAAAGAAATCTTTGCCCTTGTCTTTATCTCTCCAACGCCGCCTAGAAAATCTTCTCGTTACTCGTCACACTAGGAGCTTCCCAGCATTGATAAAATTTTCTTTCTGTCTGTCGTTATGTCTGTCTGTGTGTCTCTTTTTCTGTCCCTTTTCCAGTCGTTCAGCCATAGAATCTTCAATGTTAGTTGATTTTTTATGTGACTTTTAACATTTACGAACTTTTACTTTGTTTCGCACATAGAACTTCAGCGTAGCGACTGCAGTATGCGGTGCATGCGGCGCTATTGCGTCGGCGATAATTCTCACGCTCATATTCCACTGACGTGCGCGGTTTTTTTCCTGTAACCATCGTCGCATTCAAAATACCGTGGGACTTCGCAACTGTACGTACGTAAGACGTCCTCGATATTTTTTCTTTTTGTTTTTTCCTGAGTAACCGCTTTTTTTTTTTTTGTGCACTGCGAAGGTCGCGAAGAACGCATTGTTCGACAAAGCTTAGGCAATAGTTGTCTCCCAATGGGGCGAAGTTTCGGTCGAAGGAAAACGCCGCACAATTTGTGGTATTCGCTTCAGAATGCCTAGAGTTTGCGCGAAAAATGCCGTATAGCTTCTGCTAACATAATCTGGGCAAGAAGGATTGATTCCGAGAAATTCAGAAAAAGGAAACAAACATGTCCTGTGTGACACACGAACACGGCGAAAGCATGGATGAGTGGCCTTTCACTTGTCAAGTCTCCTGAAGCGAAAACCACAGCAGCAAATACCCTCTATGCCACAAATCGTCATAATTTTGACAAGACAGAGAAATATGCACTGTGTTATTATTATTCATCACTCTTTGGAGGAGCGAGGTACCCGCTAAGCATCTCTAAAGCATAACTGTGCATTTTGTTGATGCTGTGCCTGAAGACGATCAATGGCTGAGCCGTTTGTAATGAGTGGAAATTTTTTAGCTGTCGGCTTGTTACGCAATTCGCGTTGTGTGACACATATATTTGTTACCTTGTTTATGAGCTGGTCTGGCGTCAGCGTCGTTGGTTTGGAGCGAAAAAAACAGCGTTGTCTGTGAGCCAAAATTCAAGGGCAAATAAGTAATACTTGACTCGAGTGGGAATCGAAACCACAACTTTCACGTGACAAGTAGGTGTTCTACTACAGCGTCAGGCTCGTGCTTGAAATTGCTTCGGGAAAAAAGACTGTATAAGAATTTCGGGTAGTACGAGGAGCCTACTTATTGTTTGGCAGAAGCGTTACACCGCACCAGGCGTCAAATCATGTGAATTGAACAACGAATGGTTAGGGTGAAGGCCCACCAATTGCGTTGCAAACTGATATATTAATCATCATTACCAGCAACAGCATCAAGAAATTGTCCAGCTGCGCAATGGCGCATGCTGCATTACGACCATGAAGTGGGTACTTCGTGCACTCGCAAAACGAATAATTATGGCGCAATAGGCACTTCGCAACTTCACTTGCAGTAGACATTCTTGGATAGTTTAGAACGGCCAATTTTTGTGCACAGGCGTTCCTTTCTTTTCAACACGGTTCAGGCGTCCACCTTGAGGCGAAGGCAAGCTAGTGGTTGAAAGGTCGATGCCAACGCGGCCCGATGACTCTAACGCGTTCTACTCTTGAAGGTGAAGTTCAGGCGTTTTCCAAATTATGCTCCTCCTCTACTACGCTGTATGACATCAGTTAACACGCTTCCTTGTTCAACATGAAGCCTGTTTTCGCGATGCAGATCCAACCACTGGCGTAGCTCTGTGGCATACAAGGCCACACAAAGGACCTGGGTCCCGGTTCGGTTTTTTTTTTTTTTTTTTGCGTGGTAGTTGGTACAAGCCGCCGTAGTGGTGGCGGCGGTTGTCTATGCCACAAATGTCTGCTTCTGTTTTGGTATTACAACATATTTATGTAAAATATGTCATGATTTAAAGGGGCCTTGACATAACTTGCCATTTGCTAAGGCACGTTGCCGGGCTAGTTGGTTGGGGTTCGTCATTTATAAGCACACCACGACAAGAACTTGTCATGCCATGGCAACCTGATCCTGGGGCGTTACGAGAAAATAAAAAAAATGGAAAAGTGCTTGTCAGGCCGGGAAGTGCAGAAAAAGCTCAAAATATTCCACGTTCCGAGATTATTTCTTGGGAAGTCTTTCGCCATTTTGTTCTCTGACGCGCGTGAGCAACTGCATGTATTCGTGCACGGCGAAATTCGCGCACGTTTGTCGGTGGCTAAACAGTGATATATGGAGCCGTCATAATGACATGTTCGAGGAAATGGTAAAGCGGGCCTCTGTCCGCGCGAATTAGTCTCGTCCTATTTTTCTTCAGTAATGAGCGTTCTCGGTGTCTAGTGTGCAAATGCGGCTCTTGTAAAAGTACCGCTATTCTAAGCTTCTCTCGTGTTACGCTAGCTTACCTTTCCCATGTATGCGCAATTCCTCTTTTCTTTTTAGTGTATTCCGGCTAGCTACTTCTTAACCAACGTCCAAAGGCCATGATTACCATGGGTAATGGCGGAGCTATAAGCTTGTCTGCGCCGGTCAGTCATCACGCAGCGGCTTAAAACGCTGAAGGGCAGTCGGAGGAATGGGCTCCCTTAGCCGCCATTCAGGTCTACCAGCACATAATTCCGATTCGGCGACGCTTGTTTAGAATTTTCCACCAACTCGGAGCGCTGCCAGTATACGTTCCGTGTAATGCAGAGTCGTCTATCTTCCGAGCTTTCTCGACTGGCACGTGGGCTCCAACCCTCCTCCTCGTTCGCTTCCCACATGTAGGGTAGCAAACCAGACAACGTGTGGTCAACCTCTCCGCACTCTCTTTGCCTCAATAGAGGCACAGTACAACTGGGACGATTGCATATGAAAACTTGGGTATTCACGAACACTTCATGTTTGCTCCTATAAATTGTTTTTTTTTCCGTAACTCGGTGCGTCGTCTCTTCCTTTTTCGTAAGCCATCATTGCATCGTGGTCATGCGCGAAGCATGTAGAGTGAAGGCAGGACAATCGCTGGTCATTACCAGTTACAGACTGTATTCCAAGAGAGAGGAGGCGCGCCAGGAAGAGGTGGAAAGTTATATGGACAGATTAGACGAAATCCTTTCGGCATTGGTGACCTATAAAGATGACGCGAACAAATCTGCATATTGTGACATACATACCTTTGAAACCCAAAACAGTGTCTGAGCTATTCTGAATACATCTGCGCCAAATAGGTAGCAGTTTTTTCGTCGTCGTTTTTCTCTGAACCCTGCCAAGTTGAAAGCACCATGGCGGAAGGCCAGAAAGACGACAATTACCGAAACCGTATAATTGAGGATATTTCAACAATTAACAGTTGTATCCGTTGATATCATATTTTTTCTTATGTATATTACATATCGAACTGCTTATTTGCAAAGTGGGTCTTCTCTAACATTTACGCGTCGTCCGCAGTAGTAAATTGAGCGAAGCTGTACAACAATATACTCTAATTCCGAGGACTAATTATGGCGCACATCACAGCATCAGGCTACGTGGATACGTACAGCAATGTGGTAGACTTCATAATCAAGTTTCAAGGCTCCTGCGCCAGGTTTCGTGACATACCGTTTTTGATTGATTGATTGATTGATTGATTGATTGATTGATTGATTGATTGATTGATTGATTGATTGATTTGATTCGTCAAAGTGCAGTGCGACCGGAAGCGGAGGGAAAAGTCGTAATGACGACTTGAGGGATCCTTAGTTCCCTTTGTGGGCAATGTTTTTGTTACTTTTGCACGCTATTTAAAATATAAATCCTACTCCGCTCGCGAAAATAAGTGGTCGAATCTGTCGATATAACTCGCGGTGTTTTCATTTCCACCAGGATGCCGGTCCGTTTAAGATAGTTCGATCAAGCTCAGCTTGGTCTGACATAACATATCGCTGCATAAAACCTCAACTAATCACGTATGCCACACGCGGATTCAAAAATCTAGTAATATAGAAGCGGACTATATTTAGCTTATTGTTTTATTGGCTTGAATTTTATATAGTTATTGTGTATGCACGCCATAGTATGTGAGCCCGTCCTCAACTAAGAGTGGCTATGTACTACAGTTTAGGCGTCAAATGAAACGCAAACAGCGGCAAGCATTTGCAGTCGTGTAATTCACACCGTCCAGTAATCATCATGGACCGGCAATCGCCATGGACCATGGTCCAGTGATCACTATATCCGCATTGTCACATGGCATGTGCGCGCATGTCCATGGAGATTACTGGAGTGTGCGCATGCTGACATGGCTAAGGACGCCAACAGTACTGCTTTCACGCATGAGAATGCAGAGCGACTTTATTGATGTCGTACTTTCGTGTGAGTACACGTACCGTCACCTCGTTTTTCTCGAAAAGCTCCA